ATTAAAAACTTGTTGCTTCACTTAAGAGTATGATTACTATTAAATTTTGTTTCACAGGAAGCTTATTCGAATTTGCCAATTGAGGCTAAAGTAAGTCATCTCTTGGGAGCAATCCACAATTCCAACTTAAGTCATGAAGCCAGACAGATGTCCGCAGTTTTGTTGCGGAGAGTATTTTCTAATGATTTCATGGATTTCTATCCCAAATTACCACCAGAAAGCCAGGTTCAGTTGAAGGAACAAGTACTTTTGGCTGTCCAACAAGTCGAAACTGAACAGTTGAGGCACAAAGTATGTGAAGTTGTTGCTGAAGTTGCTAGAAATTTTATTGATGATGATGGAAATAACCAGTGGCCAGAATTTCTTCAGGTGAGTGACTTAACTTTAATTATAAAACCAGGAGATATGGTTAAAAATTCTTTAAGACTGTCAAACAAAAAATTTCTTTTATCTTTAAAATATTTTGTAAAAATAAGCTCTTCTAAATCACTGGTGGCTGGGTGTAGATTTTGAATTTAAATTATTTATTGTACAAGTTCAATATTATTACATTATTATATAACTTACATAAGGTTAGTATGTACTAAATTGTTTCTTAGATTAATCTACATTGTTTAAATTATTCTAAAGGTTTGTTTGTAAATAAAATTAAGCTAGTACTTAGCTATGGGTTTTGTACTAATGCACTAGTTCAGTGATGATGCAATTATGGTTCCACTGACAATTAAAGTGACAGTAGATTTTTTGAGTGCATTTTGTTTGTTTTGTTTACCTAAATTATATCGTTTTTTTTTTTTTCACTTTTATTAATATATTCCTAAAGTAAGTAGATAGCATGTATCAAATATACAATCATTTAGTTACCAATTACATACCTTTAAACTATTTTTTATGACCTGTAAACAATATTTTGAAATAAAATAAAAACAGTAAAAACGTATATGTCAAAATTATTCATGTTTTTGTTAAAAGTTTGGTTAGAATTAAATGTCAGTGGAACCAAAATGACATCACACTGAACTAGGGCATTAATCAAAATAGTAGCCCTATAAAAAAATGAAATTTCAATGAAACAAATTAAGAAAAAGCTTATAGTACATAAGAACATATTAAAAAATAAAAAATATTGAAACAGCAAGGTAAAATGACCAATAGATGACAGTCTTAAGGGAAAAAATCATATTTTATACATTCTGACACCAAATTTACAAATTTGCTTATAAATGTTTAGATTAAATCTTGCTTAAGAGAAGTAGCAATTCAAACTTGAGTTAAAATTAAAAAATATTGTGAAAAAATATATATCAAGGCACCCATAGATGACATCCATAAATGAATATTTATTTATTTATTTATTTATTTATTTATAATACAATACTCTACAGGTCATAAACCCAATTACAGAGCAGGAATTGACAGCATATAATTATTAATAAATCACATTTTTTATATGAATGTTAAGCACATAAAAAGAACTTGTATTTCGTAATAGGTAACAAATTAACTAAGATAAAAGTGAGATTTTATATCTGACAAATTGCAACTAAATATATCAAGTTCATTGACAATAGAATTTGTTACTGTACACATGGTATGGAGTGGAGAATTTTCCAGATGACAATAGATGACATAGCAACTTTACCAAAAGATGACGTATACACATATTGTATTTATATTTTATTTTAAAAAAAAACACAAGTATTCTTAAAATAATTAACATTAATAGCTGTGAAAAGAAAACAGCCTATGAAATTAGCCTAGTGCTGAAATAATCTTAAATTTCTTTGACTGTTAATGACGTTTTAAAGAGGTAACTTATTCTCTCTTCTCTATAGTCTGGTTCACAAGTGCCATTTCCCTCCAAACCTGTCCTCCAGCACCGAAAATTATGATTTTGGGCTCATTCGATTCGGAATGGCATCTAGAACATTCTATCAAAATTCCAAGAGGGGCTGAAAAAAAAATGCAAAAGTTATAAACAATAAAGTAAAATAAAAAATAAGGGTTTCGTTTTTTTGAAATATTTCAAAAACTATTTGAGATAATCGAAATTTGAAAAAAGATCCTTAAAGAGCAGGAAATTTCCTAAAAAAAAGTCCTACCTCCCGGAACTGTACCAACAACCCTAATAATTTTAATTAAGCGTCGAAAATAACGGTAAAAACGCGTGGTTCGGCTGCCGCGCGCATCGCCCCAATCTGACACATGAACTAAAAAAATTATTTTAACTGATTAAATATTAATATTAAGGAATAAAAAAATTTGGGTACTAAGTAGACATATGAATAAATAATAATCCGTAAACAAAAAATTTTTATCACTATTTTTTTATTAATTATGCTTTTGTTAATTAGTTAATTTTCACCATTTTAATGTTAACATAAAAACGCTGATTATTTCAAAACAAGAAATCTAGAATTTTCTTTGATTGTTTTGAGTTATTGTTAAAAGGGTTTAGAAGAGGTCCCCGTTGGAAAAATTGAAAAATTTTGATTTTTCATTTTTTTATTAACAATCAAAGGCATTAAAAAATTATATATATATATATATATGTTATATATATTATATAACAATTTGTTATAAACAAATGCAATTTTACGCAATATTTTTTTTTAAATACTAAAAAATATTACAAAAACAACCATATATTTTTTATTTAACTTTTAAAAATATTGTACTAAATAATTTTTTAATGCCTTTGATTGTTAATAAAAAAGTGAAAAATCAAAATTTTTCAATTTTTCCAACGGGGATCTCTTCTAAACCTTTTTAACAATAGCTCAAAAAAATCAAAAAAAATTCTAGATTTCTTGTTTTGAAATAATCAGCGTTTTTATGTTAACATTAAAATGGTGAAAATTAACTAATTAACAAAAGCATAATTAATAAAAAAAATAGTGATAAAATTTTTTTGTTTACGGATTATTATTTATTCATATGTCTACTTAGTACCCAAATTTTTTTATTCCTTAATATTAATATTTAATCAGTTAAAATAATTTTTTTAGTTCATGTGTCAGATTGGGGCGATGCGCGCGGCAGCCGAACCCCGCGTTTTTACCGTTATTTTCGACGCTTAATTAAAATTATAAGGGTTGTTGGTACAGTTCCGGGAGGTAGGACTTTTTTTTAGGAAATTTCCTGCTCTTTAAGGATCTTTTTTCAAATTTCGATTATCTCAAATAGATTTGAAATATTTAAAAAAAAACCAAACCAATATTTTTTATTTTACTTTATTGTTTATAACTTTTGCATTTTTTTTTTCAGCCCCTCTTGGAATTTTGATAGAATGTTCTAGATGCCATTCCGAATCGAATGAGCCCAAAATCATAATTTTCAGTGCTGGAGGACATGTTTCGAGGGAAATAATAATAATAATAATAATAATTTATTTACCAAAAATAATATAAAAACAATGTATAATGTATATCAAGTTCGTTCGAGATAAATAAACAGAAACACCCACAAAAAGAATCCTTGAGCATGGGTTATTATTGGTTATTTAGGACGAGCAGTCTTAATAAAACACAATATTACAATATTATAAAAAAATGAAAAATTATACAAAAATAATATTTGGAATAATATGAAAAACAGTTACGTAATACTAAGTTTAATTTAATATTAATATTTACATTTTATCAACTATTTTTTTTTTCTAGACAAATTATTAAATTGAACTAGTAAACCAGACTATAACATTCGTTATTTGTTGAAATAAAACGTTGCAGATTCGCAGTAGGGATAGAATATATCCATTTTTTTATTTTTACTTTGAATAGATTTAGGGAATAAATGCTCTTTAATTCTAACGGTATTTCATTATATAATTTGGGACCCAGGTAAGCATAACTTTTTTGCCCTATAGTTTTTTTGGCTTTAGGTATTACAACATTATTTAATTTATATCGAGTTGCGTGGTCATGACTTACTGATAGTAAAGTGTGTTTGTCTTTACGTTGTTTTGTAATAATAATTTTTGCAAATAACTGATAAATATCTAATACTCCAGCTTCTTGATAAAGATCTATTGTTGGGTGAGTTCTAGGTCGGTGAAATATTGTTTTTAATATACTTTTTTGTATTTTCTGCAAGTTATTAATTAAAGTGGCACCTGCTACACCCCATGCTATTATACCGTATGAGAAATGACTTTCAACTAATGCATAGTAAAGGATTTTTAAATATCTCACATGGAGGAAAGTGGAAAGGTTTCTAAATTTAGATAAGACGAATCTTAGCTTTTTTATAATATAGTTAATCTGTTCTTCCCATCGCAGATGTGAGTCGATATATATTCCCAAATACTTTATTTTATTTGTAGATTTTATAATAATAGTTTAATTTTCGATTTTTATATTAATTTCTTTAAAAGGCGGTAAGTAATTGCTATATGATGTAAAAGGGACAAGGAAAGTTTTTTTAAAATTAATTGTTAGTAATCTGCTCTCAAAAAAATTAGCGATAGTAGTAAAATCATTCTGAACTGTGCTTTTTAATTGTTGCCAGTTATTTCCTTCATAGAAAATGGCACTTGTGAACCAGACTACTACTCAAAATCTGGTTAAGGCACTTTGCCAATCACTTGGTCAATGGTAACCGAGGAAATATCATTTTCATTTGGTGTTTTTATCTTTGTCCTTTGATTTGAGTCCCATCACCTGCACAAAATCGCTCTTTTCTTGTACAACACATAAATAAACAAACTTTGTTTGGTTTCGTTTTCCTCCAACAAATTCGCAGAGTATGAAGTCGCCTTCAACAATAGCTTCAAAAGAAACTGGCTCAATTGAAATATCATTGACTTCCTCTTCAAAATCTTCATCCCACTGTGAAGACTCGCTACTACTTATTGAAAGTGACTCTGCTGTTGAAGATTCACTATCTTCTTCTATTTTTGGATTTTTTGATTTCCTTTCTTTTGTTCTTTTCCTGATCTTCAACTTTTCTTTTCTTAGTTTCTTCCAACTTTCTTCTCTTTAGTTCTAATTCCTGTTGTTTTTTATTGATCTGTCTTCTTTTCTTTTGGTTTGTTCTTACAGCTTCTTCTGTTTTACTTCCTCTTTTTTTTATAATATGTGAGAAGCCTGAACTGATGTTAATACTGAAGGTATCTTTCCCTTTTAACTTTTTTGTTATGGGTTTTTCTTCTGGCCAAAAAAGTATTCTCTTGAATGGAGATGGAATAGTTCGATCAGAGTTTTTGGTACTTGCAGGTTTTTGGTACTCAACACTTGCAAGTTGGAGGTGTCAAATGAGGAATGACCTTCATTATTTCAGTTTCTTCTTCTAGCGTTAAATCATCTAGGTACTCAGTTTCCGGAATGTTCTCTGGTTTGTCTCTTTCGTGATTATCTTCAGAGGGTGGT